GCTAAGACTCATTTAATTGAGAACTTTATCTAATGGGAAAAGCTCACCCTTCATTGAATGCTTGTAGTTATATGCCAAACACTATGTTTCTTTGACTGATTACCTTGATTGCAAATGTTTATCAAACCCGCCCACAAAATCCTCACCTCAGAAGATTTCAAAATAAGCCCAATACATGAATAATTCCTCCTCTTTTATACAAGAATAAATATGGCTGTTCTGAACTGTATCAGGATCAAATCTCCTCACATACTATTTACCTTCACAACAAGAAATTTGATTGGCTGTTTATAGTAGATCCAATCTGATTGGTGTGACATACATACATCTCTCACTCACCCATTGACCCGTAACATACCCCACGTGCCGACTAAGAGGTATTTTTTTTACAAAAAAATAACTCAACAAATTGATGTCAGTTTTTCATGCATCTGTCCTGTTATTGTTCATGAATTTTGTCATAACATTGTCAAAGTAGCTGTGGATCCACAGACTACTTTGACTACGTTATGGCAAAATTCATTGTCAATAACAAGACAGACGCATGAAAAACTGACACCAATTTGTTTTTTATGATGACAAATTGTCATATTGTCTGTTCTAGCTTGTTGATGTATCACATTAATTATAATTTCATGTGTCTGTCCGCTTATTGACAATGAAAATTAGTCAATGAGCATGCAAGAATTTCTGAAGTTATCGTAAAAAGATCATTTTTAAATGATGTCACTAAGTTCTAAAAACCAAACCTAAAGAGCCAACAATTGAAAGGTTTTATCCTGATCAGGCATAAGGGGGGCTAAATTTATCTGTTTACAAATATACAGCTCAATAGCGTGCTTCCCAAGTACATAATAACTCAATGATGTACATTTAAGAGCACAAATCAAATTTATTTTATTGTTATACAACGTTGCCAGTGGAAATAAATTTCTCTTACATTTAGCAAAGTGCTCATGCCACGAGTGTGCATTGCATATCGGCTTCACTCTCACTTTTCTTAAAACAAATGTGGAGTTTCAGATAGTGCAGCTTTGCCGGGTATGTTATAAAATTCGATTTGTGTGCTGTTTTAGGTTCATGCGCTGGTCATAGGTCCACGTGGCACACCATACGCTGGTGGATTTTTTTATTTTTTGATCAGTTTTACCCCTGAGTATCCAATCAAGCCTCCACATGTTGTTCTGATGACAACAGGAAATGGAAGAGTCAGGTTCAACCCGAATCTGTATGGAAACGGCAAAGTTTGCCTCAGTATTCTAGGGTAAGCAGTGTGGACATTTTATTATTCCCAATGACCGATGATATATCAGGTAAATGCACAATCTGATTGGCTACCCACAGGCCTGTCTAGAAATGATTTATAGGTGGCAGTGGGAACTGGTCTTTCCTTGACAATGGGTTCAACTTCACATTTGAAGAAGTTTTTGAATTATTATTAAAGGTATTTTTTTTTGTTTGGGAGAATGGTTAGTGGCTTTTGGCTTTGGCTGAACCTTGCACCTTGCCAGCTAACGCTTAAAAATCTAAACAAATAGCTATTTCTAAATACTTTCCACTTCCCCAATTATTTCCACTAATAGTAGCATAATACAAACTGTAACTTCCTCTGGAAATCAATGTAATTTTACTATGTTAAGTTTGAATAGTTCAAGATGCAGGTTGGTTATGAAGGTATTTGACATAACTTGGCTTTGTGTATAATCTTTATTTTGTCAACAGAACATGGCCTGGCCCAGCATGGAGTCCTGCTCAGACTCTCTCAAGTCTGCTTATCTCAATCCAGTCTCTCCTGAATGAAAAACCATATCACAATGAACCAGGATTTGAACGGAAGGTTAGTTAAAATCTCCTCTAGAATTACAGATGCAGATGCTGAAATAGTCCACTCAGACTTCAGTTTAACTCGAAATTACTTTCCTTAGTTGATACATAACTTTTATTACATAGCTAGCAGGGCTACACTATCGAAATCAGTATAATTATGTAAGTGTGCATTATGATTAAATGATTTATGTTTATGATGTTAGCAAGATTAACTTTGCTGCACTATTTCCATGTCATTCTACTTCCTTGATAAAACAATTTATTCAGGTTTTAAAATGCACCATCAAATGTTGATGTACTTGGGAAGTTTAGGATCACTTAAGAAGCTATTTAGAGTTACCCTTCAGGTTGCCTCTAGCAACCCGTACACTTTTTTCATGCTCTTGAAACTTCCTGCTTGCTTCACAACTCTATATGATGCATGCCAAAGCATGAATGAATTGTTAATAAATTATTCATTTATAGGAAGTCCACAAAGGTGACTGCAAAAGATATAATGAATGTATCCAACATGAAAACCTCAGAGTAGCTGTCTGCGACATGTTAGAGGGAAAACAAAGGTGTCATCCAGCTCTCATGTATGTACCCTAGCTGATTAATTACTAACTTCTCGTCATATTGTCTTCACGATAGTTCAGTTCAGTTCATAATAATGATGATGACGACGATGATGATAATGATAATAATAACAACTGTTTATTCACAAATCCATAGTAAAGTGAAAAGGAGATAAAGGGGTTATCATTTTCTAGTTTACATACATACATACATACATACATACATACATACATACATACATACATACATACATACATACATACATACATACATACATACATACATACATACAT